GGGGGGGAAAGCTCTCAGCGCTGCCGCTAACAGCCCTGAAGAAGAAAAAATTTAATAGAAGCAGTCATGCAGCCCTGCCACAAAAAAAAAAAAAAAATTATCTCGGCCAAGTCATGTTGTGGCCAAACAGCTCTGTCGAAAGAGTGGCTGCGGGCAAAACAGCTATGTAAAAAAAAAAATTCCAGCTCTGCCGCAAACGGCTTTGGCGGAAAAGAGGAAACTAAAAAAAAAAAAAATTATTTTGCAGCACTGGCGCTATCTCCCAACAGCTCTGGCGGAGAATAAAAAAAAAAAAAACAGAATTACTTAATCATGCAGCGCTGCCGTGGTTTCCCCAGCCGTGAAAGAAGAGGAAACTTTTTTTCAGGCCTGCCACAACAGCTCGGCCATTAAAATAAAAAAAAAAAATCAGTTCTGCCCGCTACTTCCCCAGCTCTGGCGGAAAAGAAGAAAAAATTCCAGCCTGTTCCCAACAGCCCTGAAAAGAAAAAAAAATTTAAAAAAAAAAAGAGGTGAAAGTGCACATGGCCAATGCGTTGGCCGATCCAAGGTTTTAGTGAGAATTCAAATCCCCATGGTTGGCATACGTGATTGCATGACAAACTAATCCCATGCATTATGGCAACATTGGAATTGGGCCATGAAAACAACACAGCAGCAGTGAGTTTTTCTCCACGAGCTGAGTTGACTCGAATTTAGAGTTGTTTCGGGCCATTGGATGACGTCAACAATTTGGTTCATAATTCTTATAAACCAAATTGTGGGGGGCATTTGTTGACACCTAAAATTAATTCGGCCAGAATTAAATGCCGCATTAATAAGTCTCGGCATTTAAGTCGATACCGCGGTAAAAAACGGTGTCGTCGGGAGTCGAGCGGCACCGCGGGGAGTTAAAACGGTACCGCAAGGAAGCTCAGCGGTACCGCGGTACTGGAAACGATACCGAAAATCAAAAGGGGGCCGCGCGTTTGGTATCGGTGTTGGGAAAGGAGTTTTATTATTATTATTATTATTATTTATTAATATTTCTACTCCTTGTTGGAAGGGGAAAATCGGTACCGCGGAGAGGAAAAACGGTACCGCGAGAGCTTGGCATGCGGTACCGATGGGCAAGTGACCAAAATTCACACGGCCCAATGCGAGCGCCGACTCCGGCGGTACTGTAGATTAATTTTTTTTGGCTATATCAGCGGTGTCATTTAATTCAAAACGTTACCGCGAGTAAGCCCAACGGTACCGCGGATTAGCAAACGACAGTGTTTAAATAAAAAAACAATATCGCGAAAGGAAAGGCAAACGGAGCCGTTTTGGCGCTAATGATGTCCGGATTAATTAACTAATATTGTTAATAATTATGTAGGACGGTGTCGTTTAGTTGAAAACGATGCCGCAAGAGGAAAGAAACGACACCGCGGATTTGAAAACGATGCCGCGGGTATAATCAAGCGGTGTTGTTTAGCTAAAAACGACACCGTTTAAGGCATCAACAACGTCGTAGTATTACTAAGCGATGTCGTTTTGTTAAAAACCATACCACGATGGTTTGGATTTTGGCGAGTGGCCCGGCAAGCTCAACGACACCGCAAGACAAGGAAAACGGTACCGTTTTGTAGAGAACAATGTCGTGGAATGAAAACGACATTGTTTGATGGGACCGGGACGGAGCAGTTCAAGGTCGGCATCGATTAGTGAAAAACGATGCCGCGGAAAGATTAAACGATGCCGCAGGAGGTATCAACGACATCGCGGTATCATAAACGATATCGTTTGATTAAAAACGATATCGCAGTGGTTAAGAGCTCGGCCAAAAGTGGCCCGCCAAGCCCAATGACGGCGCGAGACTAGAGAACGACGTTGTTTGATGGACTAACAATGTCGTTGGTTAAACCGGGTCGAGGCAGTTGAGTTGGATTATAAAACGGCATCGGTTGGTGAAAGGCGATGTCGTGGTATTGGTGAAACGTCATCGTTACATGGACAAGGTTGTAAGTCGTTTCGCCAAGTTTCTGCAAAGCAAGAGCGGTTTCGAGGGCACGTGATTGTCACGCAACAAGGAGGAAGTTACCTGCACAGTTGACAGGAATGAAGACGTGGGAGACAAAGGCGCCAAGGCAGTTACTACGACGGGGAGAAGCGCGAAGTATAAAGATTGGGAAGAGAGAGAAGCTCGGGACGGCAAAATCAAATCACAAACTGCACCGTCGCAGATTTTATCTTTTCTCTCTCTAGTTCGTAGAACCGCTCTGTCAAAGAACTCCTTTGCAGAGTCGTAGATCGTAGCTTGTAGTCGTAGTCGCGGAGCTCTCCAGAGGAACCTCCATAGGAGTAGAGGTAACGTAACTTAGAACACTCCTGGTTCGATTTTCTGTTTATTCGAACACCCTCGTTCGAACGTAGTTTGGAGAGGTGTTGAACCGAATAACAGTTGTTTGATTAGAAGTCAAAGGTGTATCGATCAAATCAACGACGCCGACACCGGCGGCGGCCATTTGACGATCGTCTTTATTTCTATTTTAATCGATCAAATCAACGGCGCCGACACCGGCGGCGGATATTTGACGGTTGTGATTGACGTGCGTTTTTGTGTTTTTTTCTTGAAAACCGTGCACAGTTAACACACGAGTTTCGCCAACGAAACAGGAATCCATCACCAGCAACACCGCATCCAGCAAAATCGAAGACAACATATTCAGTTAAACAAGATTCCATCAAACATTACAATGAACAAGAAAGGCAAAACAAAATAGTTCCCTGGTCCAGAAACCCTCATGGAAAAGAGAAAATGCTATCGAAAATATATCGAGTATAAAGGTTCAGATTGCGATTTCGAACAAACCCAGGCCCGCCATGGGAGAAGCTCGGGTTGAAACGCGGGACCAGGATCGAAAATCCCTGCCAAACCAGATTACCCTCTCATTCTTCCTCGTTCCACTACTGACTTTGCCCATCGAGAAAATTAGGAAATTGAGGGAGGGATTCGTTGAAAAGGGTTCATCGAGAATCATTGATTTGGAAGAAGTTCAGATCCAGAAATACCCTAAGTAGCTGATTGCGGCGGCGTAAGTGTTAAATAGAGATGCTAAAACCCTATTAGATCTCCACATTATTTGAAAGCGATTGTGATATCTCCTGGTTATTACAGTCTAGTTAGATGAAGGAAAAAGGCAATCCACGACAAAGAAGGAGATGGGAATTGGGTACAGTTCGTCGAAGAATGGGGAGAGAGGAAGGGGGAAGAGAATGAAAATTATAATTTTTTTTTTATCCTAAAGTACAATGAACAAAACAGAAGTCAATTTAGTAATATTAGGTTGTTGGGTCCTAATTTGATTGTGTTTAACGGAAATCGGACGGATTATTTAACAGAAGGTTAGATTTGAGAATAGTGCTGTAGTAGAGGGGTAGATTTGATGTGAAAAATTATAGAGGGGCATGTTTGATAAAACTACATAGTAGAGGGGCAATTTATACCTATAACCCTTCTTTCAAATAGTTACCGACCGAGTGTTGCAAGAAGCATATATGTTTTCCCGTAGCTATTCTACATGTTTGTCCGGTCATCATAAATGAAAGTTTGAAGTTTATTCGGAGGATTACTTGCTACTGCAAAGGCTCATTTAATTTACAGTATGGTTTTAGAGATGGTTCTCTCCAGGGGTGATAATCGGTTGGCGGTTTCTCGGTTCAACCGAAAACCGCCCCGAACCGAACGGTTATAAACCGAACCGAAAACCAAAAACAGCATGGCGGTGTCGGCGTCGGTTGGCGAATTTGGGTTATAATGCTAACCGCAAAACCGCGAGTGAAAAACCGAGCTAAACTCGGTTCACCGAAAACCGACTTCTCACCCCTAAATCTCCCCTGCAACCCCCAGTCCCCCACTCTCTTCCTCTTCCTCAACACGATTTTCCCTCTCCTAAACATGATTTTCCCTCTCCTCTCGCAGGTCTCTCCCTTCTTCTCCGTTCCCTTCTTCTCCCTCCTCCATCGCTAATCCATATCCTCTCCCCTAGCCGCTCTCCGCCTCTCCCCCTCTCTTCCTTTCCCTGTATCCTCCAGATCCAAAGTCACAAAGCGGCGATAGTCGACATTCAGCGAATAAAGGCCAAGAAGGAGAAGAGGGTCGTTGTTGGAAACAGCCCAATCCTCTAACTCGTCACCCCCCTCACTCCGCCTCCCAATCCAGAGGTCGATTTCGAAGCGGCGATGGCCGTTGCTCCACCTCCGCCTTGCATGTTTCGAGCGGCAACGGATTCAGATCCACGCCTCTGCCTCTCCCGCCGATCAAGAACTCCGACCATGTATGCTCGTCGTCGCTCCTCCTCTGCCTTCGGCGACGGATTTAGATCCAAATCCTCCTCTCGACGCTCTACCTCCGACGGGTCTCTCTTCTTCCTCTGCCGATGGTTCAAAATTGGGATTTTTCGGTGACATGCATAGCGATGGTGGTGGTCGGAGGTGGTGTGCGTCGGTCTCTGAATAACCGTCGTTGAAACCGAAACCGACGGTTGCGGTTTTCGGCTAACCGATGGTACCGTCGGTCGCGGTTGCGGTTGCCGATTTTGCCTCTTTCTCGGTGTCGGCTAACCGCCTTTACGGTTCGGTTGAAACCGAAACCGCACCGCTAACAGGCCTAGTTCTCTCTATGTTTGTTACCTAGGCTTGCCTCTTACTTACATGCGAAACTCTCCAATCACGAGTGTGTTGTGTCTGTTGACAAGACTATAATATATGATTAAGTCTTCAGGAAATGGACCCAGTTTGCTGAAATTAAATCAATCCAGTCATCATCGGATTTTATTAAACCTTAGACATCTGATCTACCGCGCCTCCCCTCTTGCTCCGGATCTTGAATTCCGAGCTCCAATTTCACCTAACCAGTTGAATTAATGTTACGGTCGAGAACAGCCCACTTTATTGTATATAAACACACATTGCCCTAAGCTTCCTCCGTGAATCGCCATAGACAACACACACCTCTAATACGTACTCCAATGGCGATGATAGAAGTAGTAGCACTCTTTCTCGTCTCCCTCACCATCCTCATCGTCTCCTTCCTCAAGAGAACAACAACAACAACAACTACTAGTAGTAGCAGCAGCTCACGACTTCACAATAAGCTTCCACCAAGCCCATGGGCCGCTCTGCCCATCATCGGCCACCTCCACCTCCTCGGCCCATCCATCCACCGCTCCTTCCACCGCCTCTCCGCCGCCGCTCCACTGCTCCACCTACGGCTCGGCTCTGTCCCGTGCGTCGTCGTTTCGACCCCGGACGCCGCCAGGGAGGTCCTCCGCACCCACGACCTCACCTTCTCCAACCGGAAGCAGACCATCGCCGTCCAACGCGTGACCTACACGAACTCCTCCTTCGCCTTCGCCCCTCACGGCGCCTACTGGAAGTTCGTCAAGAAGCTCAGCGCCGCCGAGCTGATGTCCCCCAGGATGCTCCGTCGGCAGCTAGGCGTCAGGGACGCCGAGCTGCGGCGGTTCCTGGCCGCGGTCAGGGAGAGGTCGCGCGGCGGGACGGAGCGCGTGAACGTCACGGAGGAGCTGATGACGTACTCCAACAACGTCATCTCGCGGATGATGCTGGGGTCCGGCGGGCATGCTGACGTGGCGCGGCGGGTGATTCGCGAGGTCTCCCAGATATTCGGAGAGTTCAACGTGTCGGATTTCGTGTGGTGTTTGAGGAAGTTTGACGTTCAGGGTTTCAAGAGGAGATCCGACAACATACACAGAAGGTTAGGTCAAATCAAAGCAGTACACATTTTATTCGTGAGAAAACAATCGCAAGGCTATAATTTGTCAAAAATATGCAACAGATTACATGCACAATTTGGTCTATAATTTAGATAACTAAAACCTAAAATTGAATTATCATGATTTGCGGTATAGTATCATGTCCCAAAATCTGATCAATTTAAAATCTATATATTATTTTATTATTCAAGGTGTACAATGTTTTTTATTTTATTCAAAATACTATAGAAACCAACATATATACATTAAAAAATGAATTTATTTCATATATTTTCCGAATCAAACACTAATGGCCCCATGCATTAGGTACGATGAGCTGTTGGAAAGCATAATTGGGAGTCGAGAGCAGGCGAGGAAGGAGGAGAGCACGCGAAATGAAGCTGGTGATGAAGACGAGAAGGTGAAGGATTTTCTCGACGTTTTGCTGGATGTTATGGAAGACGACGGTGCTGAAATTGAATTAACCAGGGACCATATTAAAGCTTTGGTATTGGTAAGTGCCTACAGCTTGTTTCAGGTTTCAACCAAGGGAAAACAAAAAATGTCCGTTCATGGAAAAAATTAAGAGTTCATTTTTTAACTAATCAGTCCATTGATTTGATGCATATCCATATTTTTCATACATCATCTAGTTGCTTTTCACATCAAATGAAACGATCGAATATTCGAATGTCATATAGCGAGATGAATTTTAGAATACTTTCCATCATTAGTGTTTTAGTTAAAAAAAAAAGTAGTTGATACAAATTTAGTTCATACCTATACATTTTAGTAAAAATTCTTTTACGGTACAAACTGAATTTGTATCTTTATGTTATATTACAAACGACACCGTACTATAACATTGAGGTATAAATTTCTCTATGGTGCAAAACAGAACTTATACTTTTAACTAGGGGTGGAAATCGGTATCGGTATCCCAATACCGAATACCGAAATCCCGAATACCGAATTACCCCATAAAATCAATCCCAATCCTAATCCCTAAATAATTTCGGTATCCCAATCCCAATCCCTAAATATTTTGGTATCCCAATCGGTATCTCGGTATCCCAATCGGTATTATCGAATACAAAATTAATTATCTTTGCAATGAACAATTAAATATATAAATTCGATTTGATTGTTCAATTTAGGGCAAAAAAACTAAGCAAAGAGTCTTGAGTTTTTCTAGAGTTAGGACATGGATAGGGAGAAGGGAGGAGAGGTGACAACTCAAGTTCTTGTCATTGGCAATCTTTAATTCGACGAATTGGAGGTTGAGAGACGACTAATACTAGGGTTTTCTTTTTGATGTTATGAAAATAACAAGAGATTAGATGAGAGACGAGAGTGACTTAAACGGGAAAGCCATAATTGAGTTGGATGGGGACTTGTGAGTTATGAAAGAGTGGGGAATGATCAAAAGTTGTGTGCTATATTTCATTAATTTTTATTTTTTGGTTGTTTCTCGGTATTTCGGTATATTTCGGTATATACCGATCCCAATCCCGTAATCCCGAATACCGAATAGCACTCCAAAATGAATCCCAATCCCAATCCCTAAAAAATAAATCGGTATTCGGTAATACCAAATAGTGATAAGTTCGGTACGGTATCCGGTATATCCCAAATACCGGTACCAAACTTCCAGCCCTACTTTTAACGTTAAGATACAAATTCAATTCATATCATGAACCACCAATACTTTAGAGTATAATAGAAGATTCACTGAATTTTTTTTTCCTTCTTGTTTGTGTTTATTGCTAGGACTTCTTCACGGCAGGTACGGACACAACGGCGGCAACACTAGATTGGTCGCTGGCGGAGCTCATCAACCATCCCCAGCTACTCACAAAGGCAAGGCAAGAGATCGACCGGGTCGTGGGGTCCGACCGGCTGGTCCAAGAATCCGACGCTCCCAACCTCCCGTACGTGCAAGCCATCATAAAAGAAACATTTCGGCTCCACCCAATCATACCCATGATTGCCCGGAAATCGACCCGAGAGTGCCACGTCAACGGCTACACAATCCCCGCCGAGACCTTGCTCTTCGTCAACATGTGGTCGATCGGCCGGGACCCCAACCACTGGCCTGACCGCACGCTCGAGTTCTGGCCCGACCGGTTCGTCCGGTCCGACGTGGACATCACGGGGCAGCACTTCCAGCTGCTGCCGTTTGGCAGCGGGAGGAGGAGCTGCCCCGGGATGCCGCTGGCGCTGCGGCAGCTGCCCACCGCGCTGGCGGCCATGATTCAGTGCTTTGACTGGAAGGTTATTAGCGGCGTCGACGGCGGCGATGCCGGTTTGGTTAGTATGGATGAACGTCCCGGGTTGACGGTTCCGAGAGCTCATGACCTTGTGTGTATTCCGGTTGCTCGGTTACCCAATATTATCTGATGTCTCCACCAGAAAGTCAGTGTCTCGTGTGATATATTATATTATCCACAAACATGTTCGTACTTATTGGGAGGTGAAATTCGAACTGTATGAGCTACTCAAAGTCTCAAACCCTATCCTGGATATTATGGATAATGGATGAGTATAGTTTTTCTCATTATTCAATATTGGTGGTTTAGCATTTGTAATTTCGGTACAACGAAAATAGTTTGTAGTGAAATTTTTGTGACATTTTTTCATTTGTCACAAAAGCACAATAAAATGCCACATTAAACTTTCACCGACATTTTTCTCTCGACACGTAAAATTTTGTTTTGTCCACTGTTGTTTCAGTTTAGACACACTGATGCAAATGATGGTGAAATATTCTGTGACATTTTAATAAGTTTTTCTAACATTTACAAACGTCATCAATTTAGGGTTTGGGCTGCTGATATAGAAATTTTGTACATTTACAGCTTATTTTATTTTATTTAATTTCATTTTGTCCCGTTTTTATACAATGGTGAAATGGGCACGCCACGCGATGAATCATTTTAAGCCTTATGCCGACAAGTCACATTCACATAGTCCTTTTCATTCCCTCAAATAATAGAAAATAGAAGAAGTTAGGTTTTTTTTTTCAAAAGATATCATGTATTGATCAAAAGAAGATAGTTACACCCTGGAAGTCAGCCAGGTCTGGAAATTAAAAAAGCGACTCATAGTCGGAAACAAAGAAAGGGCTTTCCTAGCTACCAAATGAGCTACCCTATTGTTCTCCCGACCTACAAAACGCACACTAAAACCAGAATGAGTACGAAAATAATGCCCAATCTCTTCCAGAATCGCACCCAACCGGCTATCTCTCACGTTGGCTTGATTAATTTTGTCAATAACCACCTTCGCGTCGCCCTCAAAGCGGACCTCCGACAAGCCTTGCTCCATACACCAAATAATAGCTTCCCTAAGCACAAACAATTCCACCATTACTGGGTCATCCATATGAGAAAACTGAACTCCTCTAGCCAGAAGAATCGTCCGCACTGGGTCAAGGAGAACCATCCCACCAGCCGAATGCGATCCACACTTAGTAGCCCCGTCCCACATGCAAACCAAATGGGACCCACCCACCTACATTGTTGGTTGCATTATCGGGGTAATTATCCTCAATAAAAGAAGAAGCTAGGTTCATCCACTATAAAAGAACAAAACAGCCCTCAGTTAGTCAGTTGATCCAAAAAAGACCTGCATTATCCCGCAAGTACAAACATCTAGAAGAAAAAAATGCTATATCTTACCATTAGTAATCAACATCTCCATAATTTTCCAAAAATGTCAAATTTATTAAAAAAAATTCTCACAATCCTTCAATAATACATGATAGAGTTTTGTAGTTTTCTCCATTTCAAATATTCTGCAACGAGAGTGAAAGTAGGAAGGACAATTTGGTCTTTACAATTAGTTATTTATTTCATAAAAAAAATATCAATATCAAGATTTGAACTCGGGTCTCTTCAAACAAAGAGAACAATCACAATCAATTACACTAAACAAATTTATTCTATCTTTTTTAATTCAAAATATACACAAAGTTAAACTTTGAAAATCTGAATACTTTCCCATCATGATTAGAAAACCACTAAGTCTATCGTATGTATTTTCAATTTAAATATAATTTTTATGTTTTTTTATCTTTGTTCTTATATCTTTCTAACTTCTTTTGAAATTCTCTACATCGTGCTACTTTGCGCTACTTTCACTTCCCAGTACAATACCGCCTTTGAAAATCAATCTTCCGGTATCTATTGGTACTACTATTTTATTGTTGGGGATTTAAGCTGGGCAAGTAGACGATTTCAACTACGTATCAATACATGGCGAATAGAATGGAGTTCAATAAATGGAGTTGCAAAATGAGGATTAGAAATTGAATTTTTGATTGGAACATATGCCTCTTGATATTGAAGATAGAGTGGATAAAAATTAGGTTGTACAACGGAGGGTGGTGGGTATTGGATCTTTAGGTTTATGGTTTTTGCAGCTATCACAACATATTTCTATCTTAAACGAGGAATCATTGATTGATTTACTAAAGTAGGTCGATTTTTTATTCAACCTACCGGAAATGATAGATAAGGAGTGTCTAATATTGTGCCTTATTAGTTTGGTCAGTCTATTAGTATATTGGAGGTAGCCCTAATTTGCTGTTTGCTCCAAGTTTCGATGGTCCCCTCTTAGCTGAGTTGTTAGTATATAGTTGATTTGAATCAACAACTCTCCATTTCTTTTTTATTAGTGGCATATTTTTCCTTAAAGGAGAGTATTGAACCCTTTATGTAGGACTGTGAGGTTTAAAATATTTAGTATCAAAATATCTATGATCGTGTGAGAATTTCAGTGAGCTTTTATACTCTATCTTTCTTGACAATCAACTAACCAATCACATTTTAACGGGAGCTTAATTATCACTATGAAAATGGGATCAATGATATATTTTTATATTTCATACTCTTAAATGATTGTGATATTTCTCCGAATGTTCAACCTATATATTCTTTCTTTATGTATCATTTCGATCGAAGAATTTTCAATAAAATTAAAACGATTGGTAGATTTAAACGTAACATAAAAATATAAATAATCAAATATAAACATCCCGGTCAACGGGCCGGGTTATAAGCTAGTACAACAGTATTTACAACACAAATTACAAATATACACAAGTTTGACCTAAATTGTCGGTGAAGACTTTATGACTATAGGTCCTTAGTTAAGTGAATAAACATCGAGATAAGTTTCCATAGATCCAATATTTTTTTTTTACAATAATCTATGATGAGCTTTATTAATCAGATGAGATAGAGTCATCGGGACCTACAGGTCCAGAGTTGCCAACCTCGGGGGAGTCTAACCCCCGGGATATGATCGTGTCTTAAGCACCGGTTTCTCGCCGGATGTACAGGGGAGTCTTCTGATCCCACTCTTTGTTTTCCTTCTCAATGTTTGACATTCTTGCTTGGAACTGCCAAGGGGCAGGTAATGACCAATTTGTTCCTTTTCTACTCTCGTATTGCCAAGCTCGACGGCCAGAGATTGTGTTTATAATGGAACCCCGGATAAGCGGGGATAGGGCTCAGAGTGTTATCGCACGCACGGGCTTCGATGGGGTGTTAATGGTTGACTCAGTGGGATTCGCATGGGGCATCTGGGTTCTCTGGCATACGCAGGAAGTTCGGATTACGCCTCTCTGTCAGTGGGAACAAATGATACATTTCAAATGTTCCCGCCAAAGCTCGCCAGGCTCGGAAGTGCTACTTTCAGCGGTGTATGGCAGCCCCAATACTGCCCTACGACTGGACCTCTGGAACGAGCTGCGGCGGATTGCGGATTCATGCTCCTTGCCATGGCTCCCAGCCGGTGACTTCAACTCCATCTTAAGCCCGACGGATCGTATGGGGGGAGAGGGATTCCAGGAGGCACGAGTAAGACCTTTCAGATAGTGCATTGATGAGACCGTTCTGTTCACGGTTGACTTTACGCGGAAATCTTTCACATGGAAACGCGGAAATCTGTTCACGGTTGATGAGACCTTTCACATGGAAACGCGGAAATCTTTATCAACGGCTAGACAGAGCGCTATGCAACAGAGCCTGGATGTTAAAGTTTCCAGAAACTGTAACCAGGCACTTGGAAAGGGTAGGCTCCGATCACAGACCCATCCTTGTCCAAGGAAGATTAGAAGACCGACGGCGGAAGGAGAAACCCTTCAGGTTCCTGGCTGCATGGCTCGGACACGAGAAGTTTCAATCGGTGGTGGAGGAGGCATGGAGGAAATCCTATGGTCTACCGGCACAGCTGCACCAACTGGGACTCGACTTACAGAAATGGAATATGGAGGTGTTCGGCCATATCATTAAATGAAAGAGGAAGCTCATTCGGCGGTTGAGGAAACTGGAACTACTGAATGAAGGAAGAGCGACTACGGCCTCGCTTGACGAGGAGAGGATAATGCGGGCGGAGCTGGAATCCACTCTATGGCAGGAGAATCTCCTATGGTTGCAGAGATCTCGGGCGCTATGGATTGTTGAAGGGGATAGAAATACCAGATTCTACCATTTATCAACACTTAAGCGCCGCAAGTTCAACAAAATTGTGAGTCTCAAGAACTCGTTGGGTGAATAGGTAGAGGAGGAAGAAGCGCCGAAGGAGCTAGCCCGGGCGTATTATATCGAACTCTTCACGGCGGAGGACGGGGCAGCCCAGCATATTCCAGCCACCTTTGAGAAGATTGATGAAGCTACGCTTCAGTCCCTTAGCCGTCCTATCTTGCAGGAGGAGGTTTGGTGGGCGATCAAAGGGATGGGGGGTCTCAAGGCGCCTGGCACTGACGGCTTCCACCCGGTTTTCTTCCAAAAAAGTTGGAAGATCATAGGCAGGTCCTTCTCTGAATTTGTTGCGAGTTTCCTCTATAACCCGAGCAGTATAGAAGCAATGAATGAGACTCTGATCGTTTTGATTCCCAAGAAGGAGAGTCCGGAGCAGATATCTCAGTTCAGACCCATTGGCCTCTGTAATGTCTCTTACAAAGCATTCACCAAATGCCTGGCCAACCGCATCAAACCACTGATGAAGCAACTGGTACATCCGACTCAGACCAGCTTTGTCCCGGGGCGTCATATCACAGATAATATAATTATTCTGCAGGAAGTAGTCCATTCCATGGGGCAGAAGAAGGGAAAGAAGGGGCAGTTTGAGATAAAGATAGACTTGGCAAAAGCATACGACAGACTCAGCTGGAGGTTCATTCGAGAGACTCTGGAGGCCGTTCACTTCCCGGCCCAGTTGATTGAGGCCATCATGAGATGTGTCTGCTCCCCCTCCATGCAAGTACTTTGGAATGGTGGCAGGATTGAACCTTTCAAGCCATCCAGGGGTTTGAGGCAGGGGTGCCCTCTCTCGCCATATCTATTTACGCTCTGCATGGAGCGCTTGAGCCATACTATTGACGAGGCGGTGAACGAGGGGAGGTGGAAACCGATCCGGACTTCCCCAGGAGGTCCCCCTCTCTCTCACATTTTTTTCGCTGACGATCTTATTCTTTTTGCAGAGGCCACAGAGAACCAAGGACGCGTCATCCTTGAGTGCCTAGATAGGTTCTGCCACGCCTCGGGTCAGCTGGTCAGTAAAGAGAAGTCAGTTCTCTTCTTCTCTGGCAACACCCCCAGGAACGTAAGTGCGGAGATCATTCGTCATATGGGCATTCCAGCAACCCAGGACCTGGGCCGCTATCTCGGGGTCCCGGTCATCCACGTAAGAGTCACGAAAGACACTTACAGGTATATCATAGACCGACTTGACAATAAGTTGTCTGGCTGGAAAGCCGAGTCTCTCAGTTTTGCAGGACGGGTGACACTGGCGGCCTCAGTGTTGAACTCTTTGCCGACCTATGCCATGCAAACAACCCTGCTTCCGATATCGATCTGCGATCTCATTGATAAGAGCATACGGAGCTTCATTTGGGGGTCAACGACGACCACTCGCAAGGTTCACCTAGTGCACTGGGACCGGGTATGTCGACCGAAGACTAAAGGGGGACTCGGACTCCGAAAGGCCCATGAACTCAACCTGGCCTTTCTCGCCAAGCTAGCCTGGGCCTTCCTAAAATCCCCGGACGAGCTCTGGGTGAGGATGCTCCAAGTGAAGTACTTCAAGACAGTCAACGACACGATGAGAGCCAAAACGTCCAAGCGATGGTCGAATATATGGCGGGGAATCATGAAAGCCTGGCCGATAGCAGTTGAGGGAACGCAGATGAGCATAAAAAACGGCCAGAGTACCTCCTTTTGGTCGGACCGGTGGCTGGATTCTAGTGATATCCTTCTTGATCTCGCGAAGGTGGATAGCCCCCCCCCCCCCCCATCGATCGTTCGGCAACCGTTGCGGATTTCACCACACAGGCAGGTGAGTGGAATCGGCCCCTACTCAGCTCTTTCTTAACCGATGATGCAGTTTTGCATGTAATGGGCATACAACCTCCACGTAAGGAGTCGGGGGAGGATATTCCTACATGGGGACCCGAGAAAGATGGACGATTTAGAGTGAGAACGGCGTACGAGATAGCAACCTCACCCACCGTGGAGCAGAACGACCGTGTTTGGAAGGCTATCTGGCGTTGGAGAGGACCAGCTAGAGTACCACACTTCCTCTGGTTGGCGGCACGAGAGAGACTCCTCACGAACCAGGAGCGGACCCGGCGCCATCTCACGACGAGCCCACATTGCAGCCTCTGCCAGGAACACCCAGAGACAGTCCTGCATGTGTTGCGGGACTGTCAGTTTGCCAGGTTAACTTGGATGCAGCTCATCCCGCTTTCTGAACACCATGTTTTCTTTGACAGTCATCTACAGGATTGGATTATATCGAACCTCTGTCATGAAGATACTAGCCTTACCTTTGGCCTGACCTGCTGGTCTCTTTGGAAGACCAGGAACGACCACATCTTTGCTGGCAAGGTCGTTAATGCTAAAGCCTTCCTACAGCGAATCCTGGCATGGATTAATGTAGTGCAGAATGCCATGGAAGAAGACAGGCTCGTTCATACGCCTCGTCTGCCCATTAGAACGGAGGTTGAGATCTCTTGGCAGCCGCCACCTCCCGAGTGGGTTACCCTCAACACAAACGGCTCTGTCATTCAGGAATCAGGTCGTGCAGCGGCAGGCGGCCTGATTCGAGATCACTCAGGATGCTGCCTCGCAGCATTCGCGGTGAACTTGGGTGTTTGTTCTATTACCCGAGCAGAGTTGAGGGGCGTTATGGAAGGTCTTCAGCTGGCTTGGAACTTGGGACTGCGGCGGATTAGAGTGGAGATTGATTCTCAGTGTGCTGTGCAGCTTCTGCGTAATCAAGATGCTCCCGACCACCCACATGCAGTTACTATTCATCGTTTCCAGGAACTGTTTCAACGCGACTGGGAAGTCACCATTCATCATATCTACCGAGAGGGCAACAAGGGAGCGGACTTCCTTGCAAACTACGGCCACGACCTTCCATTATGCTTACACAATGTATCTTGTTCTACCCGTGATTTCCATCATATTCTTTTGTATGACTGTCAAGGTCTCTCTGAGACTCGTTTGGTTGTGAATGAAAGCTAGATGCGTTGAATCCATTTATAAAAAAAAAAAATCAGATGAATCGATTACATCATCCAGTTGAAGTTGATTAATAAAAAATATCGGTGGTCTATCAAACCAAATCACACTTTCGTTTCATCTCGAATTACCATGTGCCATAATGTGGGCAGTTTCATTAGCCTCCCGACAAATGTGGTGCCAACTTCCCTCACCCGTACCCCCAGCAGTTTGTAGCCATAGATCCAATATTCAAACTTAAGAAAGTGATATTTATTAAGTGATGTGATACTTCTGCCATTATAAAAAAAAAATATTTTATCCTCACCGCCATAATTTACTTTGCATCCCTCTCTCTCCTTTTTCTCCATGGTAAAGATGAATACAATTTTCATCGATGTTTTTATTGGTGTTCAAATGATTATCATAGTAATTACATCAAATAAGGCTACAATTTATTAATTATGGAATATCATATCATACTATAATCAAATCGTCCAAACTAATACAACAACCAAATTAACTAAACTAAAGTTTATTCGGTTTGGTTATGGTTAACCAGAATAACCAATATAAACATCACATTATCATTAAGTGAGAAAATCTTCGGTTAATGCAATAATTTGCAGTTATATAATGAATAAAACATAACAATTAACACATAGTTATAGTTAACCCTTAACATAAATACATGTAACTAGTAATTATTTTACTGTCATTAAAAGTACTCACGAAACAAAAATATATGTCAATGGTATGAGGTTAATGAATTATTGTGTTTTGTAAATTGACTTATTCTCTTAGCAATTATCATAGGCTGAAAATACATTCCTTTCCAGTTTTCATCCAACATATTGTATGAGTCTTATCTAATTTAGGAGTCCATATGTTGTGGTCTACACTCCCCAAATACAATATATGAACAATATTTAACAATATTTTTTTATGATGCTAAGAGGAAGAAACGTTTGACACTTGAGTGGTTATGAAAAGTATTAAGTACATGTATTAAATATTTATTAGATATATGATTATTACTTAACTGGTTAATTTGGTTTGATTGGTTCGTAGTGTCTAAATCAAACCAAACAAGCAAAAAAAATTAACCAAACCAAATCAAATTATCCAAATACTGCTGCTAAAAATGGTTACTTACCATGGTAACCACTCCGTTTGAACAATCTGATATTTCTGAAGTATTTTATAATGAATGCACAATATTTATAAAACCTACAGAATAAAATCTAAATCTTTATAAAGATATAAACTACGAATATATAGCGTACAAACTAGAGAGTAAAAATATGCGGACAATTACTACATAGTCAATTCGAATACTACGTACAAAAAATACAAACAAAAAATTATTATACACATTTGCTTCAACATATGTCTAGTATTTTCCATACGCATTTATCGAAATAAGCTAAAGATGTTATTTAAATAAGCTAACATATCTATAGTACGTTATTCTTCTAAAATTGTATATATACACAAAAAAAAGTATGAACCATAACCTATATTTAATACTTCTAATTTGAAAAAAATATCATAATTCACACACAAATATACATAAATACGTTTTGGATACAAACACTTAGGATAATTTTTGTAACATGGATAGGATCTGGTATCTACGGATTGCATAACCCAAAATCCATGGCCAACTCAAAAGAAACGGGTTCCATAAAAAAAACATCATCCGACCTTAAACCTCGATTTTAATACGTTCGGTCAAAATGGATGGAGGGATCGCGTTACGGTTATTTTTTCACCCCTATTACTCCCGAAAATAATGGTTTTGAGTTTTGACCTTAACCTTTCTTTGTCTAGGCTCGACATTCCACACCCAAAAAAAAGGGTAATGTCTATTTTTTTATTCATATCTTTTTCATATTCTTTTATATTATCCAAACCTATCGAAATACTAAGAATTTTCTAAATGTTAACTTTCAGTTAGCAATTTTGTTAGTAATATTGACTTGACAACATGATACTGACTTGGAAGAGACAAATGTTGTCAACACGCGGGTCGACCCGGACCCGGTCGAGCTAGTGGGTCAAGGGTTAATGGGTCACCCGATTTAGCCTGGAAATATGGAAAGAGTCATTATATTGTACTTATCTTGAATCCAACATAAAAAAAATACAACACTACTTAAACTCCAACACACTTAAATAAAATTAACTTAAATTCAACATAGTAAAAATTTAACAAACCCTTAAATCCATCACATAACATCAACTTCAATCCATCATAGTTAAAATTCAACAACACTTAAATCCAACACACTTAATCCCCAATAATACTTGTGAAAGCTTGACTTAGATAACCAGTTGCTGGAAAGGGAGGGTGAGAGTGCTTACTTTTCAAGAATCTTATATAAAAAGAGGAGCGTTAATATTCGTTAATTTTAATATTTATTAAAATTATTATAAAAATAGCATATATAAGAAGCCAAATTTATATAATATCATTATTTGTTTTTAAGTTAAGTAGGAAGAAAAAAACTTACGAAAATTACAACTTAAGTAAAATTCCAATAGATACTAATTTGAGTTTCCTTATAAGATGTACTTTTGTTTTTTAGAAGGAATTTTTTTTCCTCCAATTTTGGTAGTTGAAAGAAAGAACTGCTGGCGAAGAAGGAGAGAAGGGGTGGTATTCAAACAAAAAAAAAAAGCCAGTGAATCTTACGGGAAGGACAGCAAAGTGGAAACGGCCCGCTGACCCACTCCTCCGGGTTAACCGCCCGGGTCTGCCGGGTCACACCGGGTTTGATCAGATTTGACCAAATCCGAGTGGATGCTTTAGTGGGCTGAAGTGATCCGTTTTTATGGCCGGGTCAGGGTCAAACCAGGTTGACTCGCGGGTTGACAACTTTGAGAGAGACATTTAAAGGTTAACATTTCAAAATTTTAGTATTTTAACGAAGAAAAAAATTACAAAATTATTAGCGATAAAGTAAAAAATGGTTAAGATTTTGATGCATTACGAAAGATTTGACTAATTAATACATTTTAATAGGTTTGAATAATATAAAATAGTCTATAAAAAAATTTGAATAAAAAATAGATATTATCATTTTTTTAAATCTATAGTGGCAAGCAAAACTAGTTGTCATTTCCGATAGAAATTTTGATTAGGAATCCTCCTCCTGTGCATATAAGTCCGGATTGCTCATCAACTTAATGTTGACCCTTTCAAGGATTTGTTCTACCGTCTACGTCATTTCACGTCATTTCAGACGGTGAAAGTCAGCCCACAATTAAGAGACGAAACACAAAAGGGTTAATTGCAACGTTGGTCACTGAGATTATTAAAAACGTTCATGTTTAGTCACTCAAAATATTTAATTCCATTCGTGGTCACTAAAATTAGTAAAACATTTCAAGTTTGGTCACTCTCCGTCCAACTCTGTTAACTTTGACTGATGTGGCAGTCAACTCTCAAAGTTGACCGTTAAATGTGTGACGTGGCACTTAAAAAATAATAAAAAATTAAAATTTTATATTTTAAATATTTCACCTAATTATTATCATCACTAAAAAAATAAAAATAAAAATCTAATTCTTCTACTACCTCGGCCTAACCAGCTTTCTCCTCCCCGACTCCACCCGCCGCCATCACGGCTGAAGGTCCGACATCCAGATCGGGTTCTTTGAGAGTTGGTACTAACAGTGATTGAGGGGCATATATTGAGATCTCTGTTACCATTTACAACTCATTAATCTTCAAATGGCAGACATCCATTTTCCCTAAACTGATCATGGATTTCCAGAGTCGTTTCAAACTGCAAAATTGAGTAAGAAAACCCAGAAAGAGCTCAACTTGACTGTAAGGAACAAACAGTACTATAAGTAGATGGAATCATAGTAATGGCACTGGGTTTTTGTATCTAGCTAGAGCTCAGCTCTGCTCTGGGCATTTTATGTTGGGATGAATAGCTTTGAAAAGCTATAAATGAAATTCCTAATTAATTATCCAGTATTTTTCCATAATACTTAAATAAGATGGATAATTAATAAAAGGAATATTATGGAGATAATTAGGAATAATTATCTTAATAGATTATATTTTAATTATGGGAGTAATTATCTCCCTAATTAAAATATGACTTATTCCCAAAGAAAGAGGGAATATTCTGGGTTTTCTGCTCCTATAAATAGGAGACGCCCCAGACCCTCTAAACACACCTCAGAAGAGCAGAAACACGAGAGAGAGTGAATTCATAGAGCTCCGGTTTTTCGCACAAAACCGATGAGCAACAAATCAGAATGGCTGTTTTATCCTGGAGGCGACCGGCTGATAGTCTGTTGTGCGCAATACGAGGCAGTGCCGCGAACGTCTTAAAGAGAGCGACCTAGTCCGCGACTCAGCCAGATCGGTAACCCGAATTTTTCTGTTCGGTTTCTAACAATTTTAAGACGTTTGGTTGTTGTCGTGTGTACCGAACAGATTGATTGTCGGATCTGGTTTCGATCGTAGCAAAGTGGTAGCGATGTGCTTGCCCCACAATTCGATGCTTTCAGGATCGCTCCATTGGTTGGCTCATCCAATTGCCTTTTGTAGATTCTGATTAATTATGCCGAGGGGGTATTAACTTCCTCGACAACGTTATTATTGTTGTGCTTGTTGTTATTATTGTAATAATCGGGAGGCGGAAAGCCGCCAAAGGCTCATCTCCGTACAGCCGGTCGAGAGCCACTGGGAAGAAGAACAGGGCATGGACCCTGTAATTTGCAGCGCGTGCATGATGGGAATCAGTAGATTTGCTGGGTCAATATATCCCTCTTTCAACTTTTATGATTTTTGATTAATTCTTTTGTTGCCCTTGGCCTTGCAACAGAGAAGGGAAAAGAATGCAGCCATTTATATGTGAATTTTTACGGGCGCATATATGTCACTAATGATTTGCTATATATGTCTTGGATTTTTGTCTGCTAGCAAAATTACACCACTGGTCCTGCACTCGGGAAGAGGTTTTGTTTTGTTTTCATTCATTTGCAGGAGCAGTCGAACCTATTTTGTTTGAATCGACTAATTGCTGTTCATTGGTGGGTTCGGCGGAAAAAGAATAAAAAGATACGCACAAACTGGTAAAACAAGAGGAAGGAAGCGGTGGCATAATCGTCTTGCCTCTGACGATATTGTGCCCTTCAGTTCCGTCCTGGGCCAATGGAGAGAGTGCCCCGGTCCAATTAATTGCTCCGGCCAACTAGCCACCAGCAAAAGCAAAGTGGATTGCTTCCCTTTATGGTATTTGTGCAGGCCCAAGTGGGTTCCAGGCCGCGGGAGTGGGAAGATGCTCTCGGTCTCGGACAAGGGATTATCGATCGGAAGCTAAGCCACGCAAGCTAGCTATTATAGAAAGGCAATGTCTTCAGAAAAGAGGTAAGATTTTAATCTTACTTACGAGTCATTAATAAATGACAAATTATAATATATTTCTATGAACCTTTTATGCATGAAATTGAAAAAGGTTATGAATGCTAGAATGAAAGCTTGAATTGATGCATGATAAGTTGACATTGAGATATATTACGTATCTCGATGATTAGAGCATAAATTGAATACATGCTATGGAAAGAATATATGATTTTGTCTAAATGTGTGCATTGAAGAATATATGGGAATAAAATGGGTTTATTGCCCATAATAACGATATTGTAAGAAGTACTATTATTAGTACTACACGCACCACTTAGGCTGCTCTGAAACATTATAGTTTCAAGAATGAGAGCAGCAAGCCGAACCAGATCCATACCAAATAGAATGGTACTCTTTGTGGTAACCATAAGATTGTCACCCAATCCTCTAAGAATGACGTTATGTTTCTCTGTTAAATTTGTGAGAAACTAGGTCATAAGACACGAAAGTGTAAGAACAAGTTTAACCTAGTGTTAACTTGACTAAAGAAGAGGATTTGGTAATAATATTCACTGAGGTGATGGCAGAGGTTAACCTTAATGGTAACTCTGAAGAATGGTTGTTGGATAGGACCGCTTCAAGATATGTGTGTGATAAACGAGCTAAGCTCAATCATACATTGACGCGTATTGAAGGAGAAAGTGTTGTTGGGCAAGACCCTCACCACTATTGTTGATGGTTCTGGAAAAGTGGGAGAACCCTGCATCTAGAAAGTCATTGACTATCCTAGATGTAAGGAATGACTAAGTAGATAAGATAAATTCTTCCAAGTGTGTCTGTGTGAAGAATTAGAATATCTTATATCGCATTCCCATATTATTATTGGATGCTTGAGAAAAATATGAATTTTCTATATCCAAGCTAAATGACCCATAATATGTGATTAGAGAATCAGAATAAATAGATCTGATTTATGTGGGTAAACTTGATGGAAAAGACAATAAACAATTTATTGCTCTTTAGAGTGCTCTGATTGTCTGATTAGTTATTTGAAATGGTTTGAAATGCCTAATTGCATTATGGTTGCACTGATTATTCGATATGTGGCATGCATGTGGTAGCGTTAGAAAATCAGTGTAGCATGATAACTAGAAGAGCGTATGAGTGTGTTTTATGTTGTTTACAATTAAAACACATAGTTCCTATGAAACGAAATACTCATGTTGTGAAATCCATTAATGCCAAGAAACTTCCATTTTAAATCAAGAAATAGTGGGGGTAGTGTCCTGCCTACTATTAGAAATAATGGAACTAGTGGGGGTAATAAATATGAGTTTAAACTCAGAGGAAGCAAATGAACCTGAAATCTCTTAAGGTTTTTTGTTATGAATTTGTTATTTACACCCTAAGAAAGATCCTACAAGTCTGCTAGAAGTTCGAACTTCCATAAAGATGCAGAATTGTGGGAGAATCCATTATTAACGAAATGGAATTATTGGAGTCTAATTAGACTTAAAATCTTGTAGAGTTACCTCTTGGTTGAAAAGTCTTGGGTAATATCTCGATAGAATTGAACAAGATTTGGCATCTTTTAGAATTACCTCTTGACAATGAAGTCATGGGTAATAAATGGATTCTTAAAAGAAAAGTGAAACCTATTGGTTTAGTTTATGAGTATAAGGATCGCCTAATAGCTAAGGCTTTAAGCGAAAAGGAAAAATTGTAAATTTTCTTGTTATCTATTCACCATATGTAGAATAACATCCGTGTATGTTCTGATTGCTAGTGATTGTGCGTCAGATGGATTGTTAAACATGTTTATGTGAATGGTGATTTAGATAGGAAAATCTACATGAGACAACCTATAGGGTTGTTATTGCTGAACATGCTTAGGGAGTCTATAGTTAGACAAATCATTGTAAGATTTGAAATAGACTCTAAAACGATGGCATGAATAAACTGGTTCTCTCTCATGGTTTTAAAAGTGAAAACGACAAGTGCATTTAGTACAAATTTGAGAATGACACTTGCTTTATGAATGACACGTCGATCTTTGGTACAAAGACTCGTGATGTCAATATTGAAAAACCATGATGGTTGAGAATTTTGAATGTGAAGGATCTATTTGAAACAAATGTTATGCTTAGAGATCCTAATAACTAGGAAAATACAAGATGTACACCTGCATACATGTTTGATGATGCTAGTATAAATATTTAAAGAACACCTAAGACGGTGTAAGAAAGTTAGAATATACTAGCATTTACAGTCTGCGAGAGGCAGCTGATAAACATGAGACCCGATTTAGTGGGGGGTACTTGGCAGGCCTATCGATTGTCCTAGTATGAAGCATTGAAATGCTATTGAAAGGGGTCATGAGACACCTTAAAAGAACAGAAACACCTTGGTATTTTTTATCAATGGTTTTGCTGTATTGGTAGGGTATAGTGATGCGGATTAGAATACCCTATAGAGGACTCCAAGACAACAAGAGGGTATGTTTTAAACATCGATAGAGAAGCTATGTCTTGGAAGTCTAAGAAGTAAACGATCCTGGCTCAATCAACTAAGAAATCGGAAATGATAGAACTGGCAATGGCTAGTAAAGAGGAAAGTTGATTGAGAGGGTCACTACTAGAGATTCCCTTATGGGAAAGACCGATCCCTCCGGTAGTTGATTAATTGTGATAGCACCGCAGCTATTGCAAAAGAAGGGAACCGGTTCTAGAACGAAAAGAGACGACAAATGTGTCGTAAGCACAGTACTGTAAGAGAACTCCTAACGATAGGAGCAATGAGGGTGGATCATGTAAGATCCTAATAGAATCTAGTTGGTCCTTTGACGAAAGGACTAGCTAGAGAGAAAGTCCAAAAATACCACGAAGGGTATGAGACTTATGCCTACCGAACCATGGATTACAAGTGATGGTAACCCGACCCGATAGACTGGAGATCCCAAGAAACGGGTTCAATGGGTAATAACAAGTCATGAGTAATATTGAGAAAAGTTCATGCATAGTGAAGCATGAATCCCAAAGCCTTGGAGGTTGAGTTAAAACTCTTAATGAGATCTATACTCTATGTGGAGTGAAGTACTTTACTTTGGGGGTACTTCTGATAGACTCACCTATGTGAATGTGGGAGTGGGGCTGCTCCCTATGGAACTTTGGAGGCACAAAGTTGCTAGAGCGTTCACTAAACCGGGATAACGTGCATGGCCATAAACGCACGGCCTATGAGAGAATATCACTCGATGAAAAGATCCGGTGTGCTACATTGTCTGAGATAGGGTTCAAGACTACGAGTCACCCTTATGAAATCGGAAGTGTAACCACTACGCTAAGGTTCAAATCTTCGCGATACCTTAGCTTATGCCCGATCTTATGGAACTGTTGATGCTCAGAGATAGTTTCAAAACTATTCAAGTGGGGGATTGTTGGGATGAATAGCTTTGAAAAGCTATAAATGAAATTCCTAATTAATTATCCAGTATTTTTCCATAATACTTAAATAAGATGGATAATTAATAAAAGGAATATTATGGAGATAATTAGGAATAATTATCTTAATAGATTATATTTTAATTATGGGAGTAATTATCTCCCTAATTAAAATATGACTTATTCCCAAAGAAAGAGGGAATATTCTGGGTTTTCTGCTCCTATAAATAGGAGACGCCCCAGACCCTCTAAACACACCTCAGAAGAGCAGAAACACGAGAGAGAGTGAATTCATAGAGCTCCGGTTTTTCGCACAAAACCGATGAGCAACAAATCAGAATGGCTGTTTTATCCTGGAGGCGACCGGCTGATAGTCTGTTGTGCGCAATACGAGGCAGTGCCGCGAACGTCTTAAAGAGAGCGACCTAGTCCGCGACTCAGCCAGATCGGTAACCCGAATTTTTCTGTTCGGTTTCTAAAATTTTATATATCATCATTGATTCCATCAAATCGTTTCTAACTAATTACACCTCGTCATATATGATTCTACAAGCTCAACCTAATCAAGCTCATGACAAACCTAATAGAAGTAGAAAAAAAATGTAGAAGAAGAAGATGAAGGAAAAGTAAAGGGGAAAACTTATGCTCAACTCTGTAACAGCATAGCAATTGACCATCTGTTAGATGCTGCCTTTGTCTCGTCCTTCAATTCTCTCACAAACAAAATTCCACAAGTGAAAAGAACAAGAATAAATCAAGATTGACTGTCAATTGGCGATTCATGAGCTTGCCCTGGCCAGAGGACGAGGAGAGAGAGAGAGAGAGAGTTGGGTTGGATGATGATGTGGGTCAGGGATCGGCGGCGTGCTTGTGCCAACAGACAAGCATGGCGATGCAGCGACGCATGATGTAGAAACTGGCCTTCTGTTCTTTCGCCAAGTTGGTGCATTTCCGCCTGATTGACGATGAACCCCCCTTTTCAGAGTAACCCTCGCCTGCCCCTTCGCCGCCGCCGCCGGCGGATTGAGGGAAGAACTTTTTCTCAGGAACGGAGACTTGTTTGAGTAAGATGAGGACGAAGACGCAGATCTTCACGTAGACGGATAACTACATGACCGCGGACATCCGGATCGGGCTCTTCAGCAGAGACCACGACACGAGACGGTCTTCAGCCGTGATGGCGGCGGGTGGAGTCGGGGAGGAGAAAGCGGGTTCGGCGGAGGTAGTAGAAGAATTAGGTTTTTATTTTTTTAGTGATGATAATAATTAGGTGGAATATTTAAAATATAAAATTTAATTTTTTTATTATTTTTTAAGTGACACGTCATACATTTAACGGTCAACTATCAGAGTTGACTGCCACATCAGCAAAAGTTAACAGAATTAGACGGAGAGTGACCGAACTTGAAATGTTTTACTAATTTTAGTGACCACGAATAGAATTAAATATTTTTAGTGACTAAACATGAACGTTTTTAATAATCTCAGTAACCAACCTTGCAATTAACCCAAACACAAAATTAAGCAGTTAATAATTAATGCATGGAGCGACCCCGTCTATGTGATTTGTGAATGTGACTCGTAACCACTAGTTACGATAACCACATCTTTGTGAAGGTTGTTATATGTTAGTTGGGGTTATTTTCTTCAGAAAGTTGGTGGCTTTGACATTCCACTTGACTTGGAGTATATCCACTCCCCAATCCCCATTGGTAGTGCTGAAACTTGATTTGTATGGGTGGCAAAAGTTGGTTCATTCAAGTAAACACATACATATAAAGGAAACTTAGAAAATATTTTTTTTTTATTAGAAGGAAGATCAAATCGTTTTTGGGGCGTGCATAACCAAACGAAAATCTCAATGTAATAAGTTCTACAGAGAAGAATCGTAAGTTATTCCAACAGACTAATCCCAACCAACAAAATGAAAGAGATGTTAATCTCGATATATAATGTCAAAGTAGTGCAAAGAAAGAGGACCAACACTCTTCTTTCGGACACAAGAACCGTGAAAGACACTATTACAAGTTAAGATTTCGAAAATGCTTAAGATGTGTAAGAAGATACAGATTCTTCTACCGAAATAGGTGTCAAGATATCAAGGAACTAATCTAACCATTCTTTCAAAAGAATCTGTTAAATCTAACGAAAATGTTTAAAATTAAATGTCAACTAATGTAAAAGAAATATGGATGTTGTTGGATGCACATATGAGAAATCAGAGTTGCAAATTGAAAAGGCGAAGGGACATCAATCAAGGACATCATAAGCAACCAAATCAATAACTCAAATCCACTAATCAAGATCTCTTCTTCCCTTTATGGAGTTGACGTTTCAAATTCAAACGGTCGTTTTTCAATCAAAAGGACATCATAAGCAAAAGGTTTAATTTGTTGCTTTAAGAGGAATAGGTTTTATAGAAATTTTACAATGCTATATAGTATTGGTGCTATAGGGTTTTGCCTTTATGGTACAACTTAAAATGTACATTTACGTTATGGTACAATTTTAGATTGTACCTATACTTTTTGTACAAATTCTTTTATGGTACAACTTGAACTTGTACCTTTATGTGATGGTACAACTTCAAGTTGTACTATAACATAACGGTACAAATTATTTTATGGTACAACCTAAATTTATACATTTAATGTTATGGTACAATTTTAAGTTGTACATTAAAGCATCAATACTATATAGCATAGTAGAAGTGCTCATAGGTTTTAACGCGTTAAGGATTGTACCAATGGGATTGGTTGGGCTTTGGGTTCTTTTTTATTTGCTCACTCAGTCTTTTTTTTCCCCTAACTTACTTAAGTTTTAGGGTATAATGTTTGGTAAATCTCATATCGACAAGTACGGGAGAGATGCATGATTCTTAGCGGACAAGACGTGTTTTGTAGTGAAATGAAAGAGCTATTGTAAAAACTCCAAAGTTAATTATGTTCACTGTATAGGACTGTAAGGATGTGTGACATTATGAAAAATCACCTTGAATGCACCTCTAGACAAATTTCGTGAGGGTCTGGACACAAAAAGGGCTATATCTCTGTAGGAAAAAGGTTCAGAATGTTACAAGTGGTATCAGAGCCACTCCACATCCCTCTTGAACGATAGTGGAGGCAAACATAAATAAGGACGTTGAGTCTCAAGGGGGTGTATGTAAAACCTTAGACGAATCGCACATCGACAAAGCACGTGAGAGAGCCATGATTTGTATGTAAGAAACCGACATTAACTGTGAAGATGCATTTTGATGTGAAATAGAAGAATTCTTTTAAGAACTCTAAAATTAAACGTGCTCGCTATAAAGTACATTAAAGTTTAGACCCAAAACAGACAATATCTTATAGGTAAAAGGTTTGGATGTTGCAGTATATCTAATAGATAAGTAATTGAGTCTTCCGAAATAGTCAGTATTACCTCTAGGATGAGGAATATCCATCATTGGTGAACCTCATCAAATCCTAGTGTTCTTTGTTTTCTACACTCTCCTTTTTCATTACTCTGATTTAATTTTCTTGTCTTCTCTATTTTGCCTTCTTGTTGAGTTTAGTCTGTGTAGAAGAACCAAGCCTTATAAGTCTTATCTCTACAATTCTGAAAATTAAGAACATATAAAATAAAGACGCACGAGTTTTACATAGTATCTATGATCGATTGATTGATCGAGACTAATTCACGGAAGATCTCAACCTCTCTAGTTTTTTTTATTATTGTTAAATCATAATTGTACAATGGCCTTCTGCCATCTTCATGCCTTTAGTGCATTCAATGCAATTCCTCATGATCGTCATTTTGAGAAGACGATTCATGTCAAAATGATATCGTCACTTATGATACGATGGACAAAAAAAACACACACAAATTTGCACAAAAATCGTTCAAAATTTACTTTGATTTGAAGGTTTTAGAGTTTAGGAATTTAGGGTTAGGGTTAGAGTTTAGGATTTATAATTTCGTGTTTAGGGTTATGGTTCAAATGGAAGGTTTTAGGGTTAGCGTAATGGATTGATTAATTGTGATCCTATGTTATATAATATCAAACTAAATTGGTAAATTTCATGTTTGGTCACAGGGTTTAATAAAAAGAGTCATGTTTAGTCACTAGAAATATTTAATTCCAATATTGGTCACTCAAATTAGTCTAACAGTTCATGTTGCTCACTCAAATCAGTCAAACAGTTCATGTTTGGTCACTCAAATTTGTCAAAAGTCTATGTTTGGTCAGTCGAATTAGTCAAACAATCCATCGGAGAGTGATCAAACATAGACTGCTTGACTAATTTGAGTGACGATACATGGACTGTTTGATTAATTCGAGTGACCAACATTGAAATTAAATATTTCTAGTGACTAAACATGTCACTTTTTAGTAAACCCATTAATCAAACATGGAATTTAACCTAAACTAATGTAATCAATTAAAATCCAAAATTTGATATCTCAAGTATTTTTAGAACTTTTAGAGTTGAGTATATTGTATGCACCCATTTTACAATTTTGCAAGTACATAACCATATATATTTCACACCAGCAGGTAGTAGCTAGGTTTATCCGACTATAATTCTTTCTTCACCACGAAAAAAATGTGGCACTAGCTTGTGGTGTTGACTGGACTCAAGCTGAAGCTCGATCGACGTAAGCTCTGCATTGGACTCCGTCGTGGGCTCATCACAATCCACTAAATTCAGACAAACTGACTGAGTTGGACTATATAACTCAAAAGCTGGACTTTTTTTTTTTTTTTTGTCTTCCACAGGCCCAGATTTCTCAATTCTAGGTTTTTCTTTGGGCCAGTGAGCTTGTGTAGTCAGTTTGTCACTTCAACCCATCAGGTTTACTTGGAAGAATGAAGAGAACTATTGAAGAATTGAAGGAAAACATTATTTACCATTTCATCTCCTTCATATAAACATGTTCACTCCCGCGGAACCTCGGTTGCATTGCACTAGCTTGTATATAATCGAGAAAGCAAACGAGCGAGGTGTTAAACACAATAATACGTAAAGAATAAACACACACAAGCACACCGATTTACGTGGTATCCTCAACGTATTGTTGAGACTAATCCACGGAGAGGAGCAACCTCTCAGAGTCAATTGTATTCCACCGAGAATTCTTAGGTTACACGAAGGGTTAGCAACAACTATATATACTAGCTGAACCTCTAAACCCTATCTCTCGTAATCCTACACAGTCATGGAATAGAATTAGCTTGGCAAATTACAATTGACTCCCCATACTTCTAACACCCTCCCTCAAATTGATGATGCTTACGCAACATCAATTTGTAGGCCAAAAACCAATGACGAGAAGATGCCACAGCTTTCGTAAGTAGATCCGCCGTTTGATCCTCAGACGTGATGTAGGATAGCTCAATCTGGCCCTCAGCCACCAACTGACGGATATAATGAACATGAACCTCAATATGCTTAGTTCTGTCATGAAGAACCGGATTGGTAGCAATACGAATGGCACTTGTATTGTCAGCATATAAACGCATAGGGAGAATACAAGGCATTCCAAGTTCAGCGACCAATCGCTGAAGCCAGACCAACTCAGAAGTGACCTCGGACATCGACCTATACTCAGCCTCGGTAGAGGATTTGGAGACCCGTTCCTGCTTCTTGCAACGCCAGGACACAAAGGATGAGCCGACTTTTACACACCAGCCCGACGTAGAGCGCCGAGTGTCCAAACACCCAGCATAGTCCGCATCAGCATATGCTTCAATCACCGGATCCCCCTCAGTAGGGAAGAACAAACCAACATCAGAAGTACCACGTAAGTAGCGTAAAATCCGATTAACAGCAACCAAATGAGTAGACCGAGGAGCTGACATAAACTGACTAACAACCTGTACTGCATAAGAGATATCTGGGCGAGTATGAGTGAGATAAATCAGACTACCGACCAAGCTACGATACGTGGAACCATCCGGTAGTAAATCACCATCATCCTGTCGCAGCTTCAAATTCTGCTCCATAGGCGTGGCAACTGGATCACAGTTATCCATGTGAGCCATCTCAAGAAGATCATAAATATATTTCTGCTGACTAACAAGCAATCCAGCATCGGATCGATG